TCAAGCTTCAGCCTGGGACAGTGTCACATTGTTTGCAGCTGTATCGCATCTTGAGGTTTCTATGTGCATCCTACACACTTTCACAAGGCTGAAACTTATCTCTTCCAGCTGTAAGCCAGAGAGAATGGTGCTGCAGATTCCTAGCAACACATGCAGACTCAAACAACACAGGCACTTAACTCTCTTGAGTAGGACTTTCAAGGCACCAGAACTCCGTTGCAATTCACTGATGGTTTGTGGATATAAATGTGCATGGCTTCTGTAGCGTAGTGATGGAAACTAAACATTTTCCTTGCTGCTTTCTTCTGGTACTCCTGAATCACTCTTTGAGAGCAGTTTGGACTATGGTGCATAGAAAACTGGTGGCAGAAGGCTTGTTCTCTGCAGTGGGTTGGAGGTAGGCTGAAAGGGTGTCAGGGAGGATTAACTAGAGGCAGAATGTGTCATACTTAGAAGGATTTGGAAGGAAGGAAAGTTCGAACTGCTTTAGGGAAGCTGAGAGCACTGGTAGAGCGGGAACCTTCCAGATGCTTGTCTCTGATTCTCTGCCACAGTGATTCATGCCCTGAAAGAATCGGATCATCCTTGCTTCTCCGACTTGGATCTCTAGCTCCTGGAAGTTGCCAATTCTTGATATGAACTGTGAGATTTGGATGGCGCTTCTGACCTCGTTTAGATCATTTGTTCTGAATTCTGAATAGAACCAGGAAAATTAGAAAGGGGAGTAGAATAGGGGTCATAAGAGAGGGACCTTAGTTTTATGAAAGAAGAAAGATGGTAGGAAACTAGGCCAATGAGTTAATAGGCAGTTGTAAAGGAGGATTAGAAAAAAAGGGGGGATAGAAGAGAAACCTTGTACCAATATCTTCTACCAGGATGTTTGGTTAGCACATAGATGACACTCAATACTTTTGTATAAGTAAATGAATGAAAGACAATTTGGGGTTGGAGGCTTATCCTTTGGAAACTGCTACAGGCTGGTGTTAAGGGAGAAGGAATGTATAGTTTGCTAAACGTGCATTTCTGTGTCTTTACAATGCTTATTTTATAAAGAGCCAAAGGCACTCAATTATGAGTGTGTATGAAGGAACTCCACATTAGCAAGGATAGGAAAAATGTGATAGTATTGATGAATGGTGTTACACCAATCTGGAGGAAAGGACAGGAATTGGTTTCTCCTATATTAATGTCACAAGACAACTCTTACCATGAGTTGGCTGAAACTGCTCAAAAGGGTAAGCAGTGATGAGTGGGGAGAAGAGACAAGGGAAAAACCACTACTCTTAGGGGAAAGAGAATGAAGGGCAACCTAGATAAATGAAGTTCTATTCACCAGAGAACAAGGTCTAGGGAAAAGTTAATTTATTATACTTCGAGAAGGAAGCTGTGCATATAACCTTTCAAGACACTCTTAGACGTTTTTAATTTATAGAATACCTTTTGTCGGTGTTCATCATAAATAAGAGACCCACAAATATATCCCAGAGGTGAGTTTTTGATCTAATTGACTTTAATTATTAAATATTCTCCCAAAAGCCCACAAAATGGAATGTAGCAAGATAGAAAGTAAAACAAAAGACAATCTAGGTTTTCTTTAACAAAGAAATTTATACTTGAAGTTGATAACAACATGGAACAAGAAACTTTATTAAAATGTAAAACTAAAGATTCAATTGTACTTGGATGTCCTTATGAATTACCAGCGGATCTTAAATGTTGATTCTGAGTCATAGAATCTGGGTGGGGCTTGAGATTCTGCATTTCTAATAAGCTCCAAGCAGATGCTGATGGTTGTTGGTCCTTGAATCACCCTTGGGCTAACATGGACCTACGTAGGTTCTCTTTGGTAGGTGTTGGTAGCCACCCATGGTGAGGTGGCTTCACCAAGAAGGAGGTGAGGGCTTCCTTCTTAGCCACATCTTTGCTGCCAGGCTATAATGAAAGCAAGTCTCAGAACAAGTTCTGTCTCATATGAACATTTATTAGGCAGGGGTTACAAAACAATCTTATAGCCTATGCCGGAGGCACAGTGAAGTCACAGCACTGCCTTTTTTTTTTTTTTTTTTTTTTTTTTTTGAGACAGAGTTTCGCTTTGTTGTCCAGGCTAGAGTGAGTGCCATGGCGTCAGCCTAGCTCACAGCAACCTCAAACTCCTGGGCTCGAACGATCCTTCTGCCTCAGCCTCCCGAGTAGCTGGGACTACAGGCATGCGCCACCATGCCCGGCTAATTTTTTATATATACATCAGTTGGCCAATTAATTTCTTTCTATTTATAGTAGAGACGGGGTCTCACTCTTGCTCAGGCTGGTTTTGAACTCCTGACCTTGAGCAATCCGCCCGCCTCAGCCTCCCAGAGAGCTAGGATTACAGGCGTGAGCCACCGCGCCCGGCAGCACTGCCTTTTTGAGTGCTCAGTGGGAGGTGTTCTCACAGTCTACACAGGGCACAGTCCTCTATCACAGTGGTTCTCAAAGTGTGGTTCCCAGACCAGCAGCAGCAGCAGCAGCACCTGGAAATTTGTTAGAAATTTGGATTCTCAGGCCCTCCCCAGACTTAGAGAGTCTGGGGGTGAGGCCTGGGAAATCTGTATTTTTCAACTAGCCCTCCAGGCAATTCTGATGTTCATTCAAGTTAGAGAACCATTGTTCTAGCGGCAGGATTCTGTCAACCACTTAACTGAATTCAGGCAACCAAAAATCCAATGAACTACAGCTGGACATTTTGGAATCCAGTTTAGGGCACCATTTCTAAAGATCGAGGGCCTACTAGATTCTTCCTAAACCCTGTTCATGTAAAGGTGGGGAATGTTTCTAAACCTTTTCCAACAATCCTCATATTTCACAAGCCACTAATATCACCAACGCAAGCCTATCTGACATTAATTAGGATAATTAATGAAACCCCTGGTGTAATAGGAGCTAAATATAGCTGAATCACTTAAAGCGGCCGCCTCTGGAGTGAAGCTTTTTGATTAATTGCTAGCCAGCCACCCCTGGAGTGTACATTCCTGATTAAGACAACTGACCGCCTCTACAGTGTAGTTTAAGCTAACAGGCACATACATCATAGTGTACTGTCCACGTGAGGGTTTTTAAGAATTCTTAAAATTTACTTTATTAAGGTATAATTTAAACACCATAAAATGTTTCCATTTTAAGTGCGCAGTTTGAATTTTGACAAATGTATACACCTGTGTAACCAGCACACCAATTAAAATATATAATATTTCAATCACCTAGAAAATACCTTTGTGTTCCTTTGCAGTCAGCTATCCACTCCCACCTTACCCCAGACTACCATCTCTCACTGTATCTGAGTTTTATCTGTCCCACAGTTTCATATAAATGAAATCAAACAGTATGTATGGTTTTGTTCCTGGCTTCTTTTACCAAGTTTGGTGTTTTTTTTTTGTTGTTTTTTTTTCAGATCAGTTCACATTGTTGTGTTATCAGTAGTTAGTTCCTTTTTATTGCAGAGTAGTCTCCCATTGAATGACTATACCACAATTTGTTTATATATTACCCTATTGATTTGCTTCCAGTTTGTGGCTATTATGAATAAAACTGCTATGGACATTCATGTACACATCTGTTTGTGAACATGTTTTTATTTATTTTGGATACATATCTAAAAATAGAATATTTGGGTCATAAAATAGATACATGTTTAATTTCTTAAGAAACTGCTAAACAGGTTTTCCAAAGTTGTCATACTGTTTTGTATTCCCACAAGCAGTGTATGAGGGTTCCAGTTGCTCTATATCCTGACCAACATTGGGTATTGCCAGTCCCTTTTATATTTTTATGCTGAATAGTTTAAATTACAGACATTGTGTTCCTTCTCCTAATTTAAATTCAGGCTTTTATGTTTGGTCTCTGCAAAAACCATAAAGCTAAAAGTGCTAACCCAAGTGACTTGGATATGGATTAAATTATTGCCTTTTGCTAATACCTCATTAGAACTGATTTTATGGGTGCCATTTGATTAGGGCACTTAGTCATGTTTACCAATATGGTTTTTCTTTTTAATCCTTTTGTTCATTTATTCATTCAATCAGTCAATCAGTCCTCTAGTTGTATTAGACCTGCTTTTCCAGAGATCTGTTGTATATTAAGTTGCTGGGAAATATGACAGAAGTAGGGGACAGGGTTCTTGTTTTCAAGGAGCTTTTTGGAGCTGGGTTCTTGAAACATACGTACACAGAAATGCTAGAAAAGAAATGTAGTCCAGTGTCTATTAAGGCTTGTACAGACTTGAGTAAGGACATCATCTAAATATAACTTCCTGCTAGGTGACATGAGTCAGGACTTGATAGACAGGTGACTGTAGAAACCACAGTAGCATAAATTGTTGAGTGGTTACTCTATGCTGAATATTATGATGATTGTGCCTTGGAATATAAAGCCAGATGTTTAATTCCAATTATATCTTAAAATTTATCTCATATACATAGATATATGTTAAGGAAAAAAATACTCAAAATGTTAACAGTGCCTATCTTTGGGTTATGGGATTATAGATGATTTGTTTACTTGATTTTATATTTTTCATTGATTTCTAAGTTTTCTACAGTGAGCATGTATAACATTTATAATCAGAAAAAAATGTTATATTGTCACCTGATTGTTAAGTTCTTATAGCTATTTCAATAATATGTTCCTTGTTCTCTTTAATCTTCCATGGCAAAGATTCACTGCAATAGATGAAGATTATAGTCTATTAAAAAAAATGCCCATCCTTCTTTTCTCTCTTGGGAACAAGGACTACATGAATGCCCTGCAGGCTATGCCACTATAGTCCTTCACAGAACTTAGCTTTCCTGATTGTCAAAGGGCAAAAGGACACATCGACAGAATTTCACCTCCCAAAGCTTGGAGCATAGACACAATTTTTTAAGGCTATTTTCGTGGTTGTTATAGTTGTTGGCAAATCATTGGGGGTTTTGTCTGTGTTTTCTGATGAAATAACAAATGATCTTTGTTTCCTCCCTTTTTTTCAGCTGACCTGAATAATGTCAGGTTCTCAGCTTATAGGACTGCCATGAAACTCCGAAGACTGCAGAAGGCCCTTTGCTGTAAGTATTAACTGGTACTTAAAAATTTTGAGAATTTTTCTTTGCTTATAAAAAAGTGCCTTGGGGATATTTTCACTTGGAGAGGGGAGAAATAGCTGTCACAAGTCCTTTTGCAACATAGCATTCATTCTTTAAATTATCTTTGGCCTAGTGTTTGCCAAACACTATTAGACTATTTTATTTTATTGTTTAGATTCAATCTTTTCTGTTACCATTTCTCAGCTACTAATGTTAAAGTGATAAGATATTGACAATTTTTAATTTTCCAACTAATGGCATTGGCATCCGTAATTGCCTTTATGAAACTTGCATCACTTTTACCATTCTACCTTTGTTTCTTCCTTTTACAAAATGTATTTGGTTATTAGAGGACTGTGACTATCTTTTTTTCTTTTTTGTGACACGAGAGCCTTCAGAAGACTGTGACTATCTTATCCAAACCAACATTCACAGATATGTGTGGTTTATTAGCTTGAATGCCGACATTCAGATGGATGCCGAGATAGAGGAAAGATGACAAGATAGCTTTTGTGCTTTTTTGTCATAAACCTGTGGGAAAATCCTGAAGTGTTATATAGCTCTATCATTTCTTCAGATAGTTTATGTATAACTCTCTGTTATCAACAAAGTGAATTATGGTATAATATTGTTTGAGTGTCTATGTGCATTGATGATATGCCTGTGAAACGGACAGGTACAGTTCCTATCCTGATGGAACTTACAGTCTAATGGGATGTCCATAAAATCTGGAGACATAAGAAAATGTACACGTAAGATCATGAAGATTGTCTATAATTGATTTAAAAAGTGGCATTGTCTATATTTCTTGGATTTATGGGCATCCTGAGGAAAAGTGAAGAGATACTTTTAATGTCATGTATTTAGTTGTGTAATAGTGGAAGAATGGGGTACCATGTGAACAGCTAGCTGTGTGGGGTGAGGTTCAGAGAAGGTTTGTTTGAAGAGGTGATTAGGTGATTCTGGAAGAGTAAGTAGAGCTCACTGTAGGAAGAGCATTCTAGTCAGAGGGAAGGGAATGAGAGGAGCCCAGAGAAAGCATGATGCACTCAGAGACTGAACATACTTCAGTGTAACTAAAGCACAGAATTCCAGGGAAGGGCTATTGGGAAGTATTGGGCTGGAGAGAGAACCAGGAGGCAGATTGTGAAAGTAGTTTTTAAATCCAAGTTAAAGAATTTAAAGGTCAGTGGAGAGCCATTCAAGAGGTTTTGGCAAGGGAATGGCATGATTGGATTTTCATTTTAAAAGATCATTCTGGCTGTGGAACAGAGCATGGTTTGGAGGGTTGTGGGACTGACAGGAAAGAGACTCACTGCAATAATCTAAACCAGTAACATGGTGGCCTGAATTGGCAAAATAGAGATGGAGATAAGTGGAGAGTATTTACGAATATTTAGGAAGTGGATTTGACAGGCCTCAGTGATTTATTTGATGCCGTAGGTGAAGGGAAGTCAAGGTGCTTGGCTTGGGATACCAGGTGAATGGTAGGCTTACCTGGTAGAGTTGGACATGAAGCTGTATGCTCAGGAGAAATATACAAACAATATTTAGGACTTATCAGCATGTAGATGCTGCTTTTGTAACCATGGAGAGTTTGAGATGGCTCCAGGGGAGTGTAGAGTGAGAAGGGAAGAGTTCTTCAGGATAGAGGTTGAGCAACCTATAAAGGGGACTGCAAAGGAGTGGCCGGCGCAGGAGGAAAATTCTGATAGGTTATACTGCTACCTACATACTGCATGGGGACAAAGAGGAATGGACTGGTCACCAGGGTCAGATGTTGCTGGGATGTCAGGATGCAGTTGGGGAAAGTATCCATTGGATATCACAATAAGGAGGTCCTTAACTTTGGTGAGATTTTAGAGGCACAGTGGAGGTGATGGAGTGAGCTCAAAAGTGAATCAACAATGGGGATGTAGACATGGTTGGTATGGACCATCCATACCATTGGGCGAAATATATTTGTGAAGGGGGGAGGAAGTAGGGTGGTAGTTAGCTGGAGGGGCTGGGGGAGTTAATGGAGATATATATGCATTCATGCATCATTTAAAGATAGGGTTGTGTTCTGAGAAATGTGGAATTGGGAAAATGGGGAATTTGATATTGTGAAAATTTTGACCATTTAAGGTGATAATCTTGTAATAAAGTTAAGGTCTGAATGTAGAATGATTTCTTTAAATTTTCACTTTTAAAAAGATTTGAAATTCTCAGCATTTCCTTTCTGAGTGTGACTTTTCTCATACTTGGAAAAAAATTCGAGTATAGCAAAATTAAGGTGTATTTATCTAAATTAAGTACTGAATTCTCAAGAACGCTAGGAGGATGTCATGCATTGTAAGAAGATAGAATGAGGAATTTGCCAATTTTTTATTATTGAAAACATGTGGTCACATTACTAACTTTTCAATAGATGATTTAAAAATTTCCTCTTAATTTTATATTTGCTTAGGTTTATCTTCCTGCCTTTTTGTCATTTTTATGCCTGCAAAGCCATGATAAAGAGCTATTGTTTATAGTGCAGGCAAATAAAACTTGCCCTGACTAGCCTTTCCTACCAAAGGCCGCCTCTACTAACTCTTACTTTAATGAAAATTAATGATGTTATCTCAGTGATTTCCTGATGCCAGTGAAGAGTTTGAATTACAGATGCCTTAGAAAACATGCACTGCCACCTCTATTAAGCACTTGATCTTATTTTTTTCACTTCCCTATCAAAGTTTCAATATTGCAGAAAACCAAACAACACAGATTTATCCACTACAGAGAATTCACTGTTTAAGTGGAGAGCATAACCATTGACCTATAATGTCTCCAGTTTGTAATCAGTTAAATGTATGACTCCATACTGCCTTTCAACACATCGTGAATGAAAATTAAACTTGATAGAAAAGCAGAAACAAAGAGAAAATCTTGGTAAGAAAGAGTTATAAGCTGGTTAATATGGCTGATACCCCATTGAAAGTTATGAGGAAGATAACCTAAGCTTTTTCTTTCTCGCTTTGTAGTTCTGATGACATATTCCATAGGTGTGTAGCTTCTAAAAATAAAAATATAGCCAACTTCTAAGAGCAGAAATAAAAATGCACTTAACAAAGCAAGTGTATTTAGTTTATTAGTGTGTGGTGGGTTGGAGAGAGCCCAAACCATAGGGCTAAATATACTTCAGTTGATACGTGTGACAAATATTCTGCAAACATCAAGAAACACAGAACAATTTGCCTGTGTTCAGCAACTAAAACACATATTGTAGAGATTTGGTACAGCCTAGAGTTGTCGGAATAGTGACGGCTTCCAGACTAACCCTCACCACGACAAACCAGGTGAAAAATGTACTTCCTTCTCAGTATATGTATCTCACCTTTTGAAAGTACACTAAGGGTAGCATTAGAAAAGGTTCAGTTGCTAAAGAAGACTCCCAGGACCCACAATAACATGGCTTACAAATCTACAGTCTACTGCCAGAAAAGGCTACATTAAGACAAGAGCATTAAAATCAGGATATGGATCCACAGCCGCAGGCTGCCTCCACAGCAAGGCATCTCAGGAGGCCAGTATAATTATTTTGCCTCTCCCCTACAAAAATCTACTTTGCTATATACCATGTATTATTTTTTCATATAGGTTAGAGGCCATGTCTCTGTTACTTCTGAGTTAAAAACATTTTGAGAGCATAGCCAAACTAATTTTCTCAGTTGATACGGTTTAACAGATTTTGGTGCCCCAGAGAGAGAGGTCCTGTAACAAGATCTGTCCATCTCCTAGGGGAGATACTGTAGTCGCATTTAAAATGTGTCCAATACCCATGAGTTGCACACTAGAGGAAGCATGGTTGGCCCTCAGTTGTGATGCTGAAGCTATTTAAGAGTACCTCACAGGTTCCATTCTCCAGTTATCAGTCTAGGCAACTTACCAACTTTATCCTTCCTCCTGGAGTTGGACACCCTTGAAATGCTCTTCTTGCACTAAGAGGTCTATTTTCATCAGTTTATCTTTTCTCATTCAAAGCAAATTCTACCTGGCCATGTATTCCTAGCCCAGCCCCCAATTCTTCCAAGTTCTTTTATTTCAAGGGGTCCAGTGCTCTTTGACTCACCAGACATGTTGTTGCCATTGAGAACTAACATCTTTAATACAACTAGGAAATAAATTCGAGATACAAAAATGTTGTCTTCCAAGCTAAAATCATGCGAATGGTAGTTACTTCCAAATAGAATTTGGTTTGAGTATGCTGCAGAAATTTCTGTAACTATTGACATCAAATTTCTGGCTTTTCAATCTAAGCAAAGTAGGCCCACCAAATTAAATTTAAAAATTTCTCAATCATCCAAGTGTCTCAATTGTCCCTCTTCCCACTGACAGCTTTTCACACAAAGTAATGGAGCAAATTGCTATTTTTTATACATAATATTATGACAGATGAGGCATATAGCTCATAAACCTTGTACCACATACCCAATACCTTTTTAAAAATCTTTATCATTGCAATTAATGGCCGCACAATGTTCATTCAAGTTGTTATCAATCATTGTTCTCCAGATTTGGCTGGCTTAAGATTCCCATAGGGTACTTTCCAACACAGATACTTAATAGCAGTTATATCCTGTGAAATAAGAATCCAAAGATATATTAATTAATATTAACCAAAAGCCACAGTAACATTGTTTGATGGAGTCCTGGTCCTAGTTAGAATGCTCATCTCTTCTTCCAGTGTGTTCCACTCACTTCCTGACTCTTTCATGGAGGAGAAGGTTTTAACAGAGTTCTTCAACCCAAGGAGCATCTGAGTCTAAGCTAAGGGAGCGTATTATTCTCTTATTTTAAGCTTCTCCCTAGACACCAACATTATGTTGGATTTTCCCTTGGTGGCTTCTTTCCCTTTAGAAACAATCTCACCTTTTTCCTTTATCATTCATTTTAATCCAAACCCCCACCCCCAGGCACAAAGTACAGACAGTCCCCAATTTATGAAGGTTCAACCTATG